TGCTGAAACAAAAGAACTATATCAGTATTGTAATAACCATCTAAAATGAGCTAGCCTGCTATCCGAAATTTCTACAGGACTTGAGGAGGCCTACAGACAGCCATCTGCACCATATGTATACTACTTCCTGTAACATCAAATCTCTCTACTGTTTCTGAGCTCTCTAAGCCAATAGATAAGACAACTAGTCCTACCACATACCTAATGTGAAATGAAGCAATAGGCTGCACTGTATAGCCACTGGGATTTTCAACAACAGGACTAGGTAATCATGTAGGCTGCATGCGACTCCCAAGGCCATTTTTTGGATCCCCAAGGCTCTTTCCAGAAATCCAAGAGAACTGCTACTCCTCCTCTGCAAACAGCAAAATTTTGCAAGCAGGCTTCTGGCCCTTTCTAGTTTCATTTTCCTGTGTCCCTGGAAAACCCACAAAAAGGTCAGAAGAGAATCAGCCGTATCAACACTATTCTCACCAAATGGTATTTCCAAGATTCTGACTTGGGAGGCATCATGTAACCAGTGACAATCTCATCTTCCATAAATCTATCTCGTTCTCTTTTGAATTAATCTTAAGTTGATGGCCATTACTATGTCTTCAGGATGTGTGTTTTACACGCTATGGCTTGATGCACTGCATGAAGAAGTATGTCTATTAATTCCTGTAACATCAAAACTATCCATCTACCCATGCAGCTCAGCTGGGTCTCCAAAAGTGGCTTGTCCTGAATTTGCAATTCCCTCAGGAGGAATTATCTGTAACTAATGTGGACTTGTTTGAAACTGACTAAATGGGTGAGGATATAAGCCTATGTGAAAGTAAAAAATCACACCTTGCTTCAGTCGCTGTGCCCAACATTGCCAACAGCTATAAAGCGTATTAGCTGAAACAATACCTATAAAGCTGATTATTCCTGAATGATAATGATGACTACTTAATGGGAACTGTGATATCACAGCATAATCATCAAATGGAACTGCCAGGCATCACAAAATAGAACAAGAAGCACAAGAAGCATCATATACAGAAAAATCTAGAAGGAGCTTGATAGCAATGCTGCACCGGAGTGCTTAGGAAGAAGAGGGCCACCCCAGCTGAAGTGCAGAAATGGCCACCAAAGCTCCAGAAGATGGAGATGAAGCCTGTGATATGAACACAAAAACACAAAAGCAAGTTGTTGTTTTTAAGGCACCGTAGGCAATATAGACATTCTTGGATTGAGAACCTGGCAACTGAAAAATTTGACCACTTGCGTGAGAGACAAGTCAGTTAATGACAGGGAAGTGTATGCAAAAGTTAGGTGTGGGATAAGATAAATGCCTGGAAATGGCACTGAGATTAAAGAATGGGCAGAGAGGCCGTAGCTGACTAGCCACGGTTCCCTCATATGTTAAAAGCATGTCCCTCATGTTAAGAACATGTCAAAACCATATACATTTATACAGTATTTAATTTTCCAAAGAAATGGGGTAACCAAAAGCAGAATTTATTCAATACAGGAGTACACATTACTATTATCTTCTTAAATAAAGCACGAGAAAACGTCCCTTCAAGGTAAAGATTGTCTTCAGCTATACAATATTTGAATGAGGGTGGGTACTCTGAACCTTGAGAGCTATTGTGGGTCAGGATAATGGACAGTGTGACAGGCTAGGACTCGCCCACTTGGGTTCAAATCCCCGCTCGGCCATGTAAATTCATGGGGGCCTAGCACTAGGCAATCTATTTCTTAAGTACAGTGGTGCCTCGCTTAGCGATGTGAATCTGTTCCGGAAAAAACGTTGCTAAGCGATAACATCGCTAAGCAAAATTTAAAAGCCCATAGAAACGCATTAAAACGTGATTAATGCGTTCCTATGGGCTTAAAGCTCATCTTTAAGAGAAAATCCTCCATAGCGCCACCATTTTCGCTGTCTCTTAAGCGAGGAAAAACAGCGGGTGGCCATTCTGTTTTCCCATTTTGAAACTGCCGATCAGCTGTTACAAAAGGGTCGCTTTGCCATGATCGCTTCCCCTCGATCATTGCAAAGCAAAAAAACCCCATAGGGACCATTGCAAAGCGATCGCTTTTGCAATCGCAAAAACTCAGTCGCTAAGCGATTTCGTCGCTAAACAGAGTGATCGCTATGCGAGGTACCACTGTATCTCACATACCCTGAAAACTCTATTAAGGCCACCATAACTTGGATGCAGCTTTACAGTGCATGATGCACACACTGTGAGCCTTGCTGCAAAGTGGTGTGTCAAAAGAGTTCATACATATCCTGGACCATTCTCGACTGCCGTGCCCCATGTCCCAGTAACAACATCTTTTTTCCCTCTCTTAGCTTTCAAACTTACCCTTTTCCCACGGCCAATTTCTCAGCCATACTCTTCACAACCAACCTTTTTGTTGTTGTTCTTCTCCTGTTTTTCCCTGTTAGCCCCTTTTTCCCTCTGGATTTGGGATTTCTGGCTACTCACATTGCTTTCAATGTTTTATTTCTCTAAACCCTCCCTTACTCATCGGGTTGATCTGTTCTTCTCCCCATCCATCTGCTCCACCTGAGACTTTCCAGCACCCCTACCTTCTGCTCCCTTGCTTGGGCCTATTTGAAGTTCACAGATAGTGCTGTTCTCCTCCCAGTCCTGATCCTAGCAATACCATTTTTCTAAGGATCATCAGCAATGATGGGGAAAACCTAACCTCAACTCTGGAGCTGGAGAAGGGATGATTCCTGCCTTCTTTCCTGTTCCAAGATTGGGAAGAAGGTTGGACCTCCTGAGCAGATTCTCCAGAAGATGAAGAAACACTCATCATGGCAAGCAGCATCAGGATGATTCCTGCCTTCTTTCCTGTTCCAAAGATTGGGAAGAAGGTTGGACCTCCTGAACAGATTCTCCAGAAGATGAAGAAACATTCATCATGGCAAACAGCATCGTGCATTATGGCTAAAAGGTATGATACACAAGAAGATTCTGCTCCTCAGCTCAAAAAAGTGTTACGTAATGTGACATCCAGGCTGTCCTTTGTGACTCATCCCGTAGGTACTTTCTTAAACAACTACACCTTTATCTCTTGTATACAGAAATAAGGATTGCATGCAATTTTTTTTCTCGAAGCATACAGAAACCTGTAAGTTTAAAAAGGGCTAATGAAAAAAAGGCATGACTAAAAGACCTAGGAATTCTACCTTTGAAGGAAGCCCATAATCAACCATATGACTGAAAGAAGGGTTATGGAAGACCTGAAGTGCTTATTAATATACAGGTTCCCAATGCAGCAACATAGCAAGCAGAATATGGGCCAAACCAGAATGATTTATTGAGTTGTACTACTGGCAAATAATGGCCTCCCAACCCTTGTTCAAGATGTGAACAGGAGAAAGACTAGGCCAATCCGGCAATCCGTGGTGCATCTCCTGCATGGGGCAGGCACCATAAAACTTCTTATTAACCACTAAAACAGACATATCCCAATGACAGCTGAGGCTGTTTTTCTCCTATCAACTGCAGTAGACCAGGAAAAGAAAGGAGAGTCTACAGTAAAGCCTAAGTACTGAGTACAGTAAAGCCTAAGTACTAGGGTTTGAATAGTCTAAACCATAAACCATATTGATCAGTTTTCTTTGGATACTTTCTGCCTGTTACTTACGCATATTTTTCTAACTCTTGAGTCTCAAAAACTGGGATGTATCCTTTGGGAGGAGTGAAAACTACGCTTATAACTAAAGCAAGAGCCTAGGCCAACCCGGCAATCCGTGGTGCATCTCCTGCATGGGGCAGGCACCATAAAACTTCTTATTAACCACTAAAACAGACATATCCCAATGACAGCTGAGGCTGTTTTTCTCCTATCAACTGCAGTAGACCAGGAAAAGAAAGGAGAGTCTACAGTAAAGCCTAAGTACTGAGTACAGTAAAGCCTAAGTACTAGGGTTTGAATAGTCTAAACCATAAACCATATTGATCAGTTTTCTTTGGATACTTTCCGCCTGTTACTTGCGCATATTTTTCTAACTCTTGAGTCTCAAAAACTGGGATGTATCCTTTGGGAGGAGCGAAAACTATGCTTATAACTAAAGCAAGAAGTTATTTACTTTCAAAGCTAATGCTGCACACTATTTTTTAGCCTGTGTCTAGCCTTTGGGATTTATTATATATTCACCAAATTGCTGTACACTAGAAAAAGTTGGTAAGACAATTTCACCTTAGATTCTGCACATGGATGAGGAGGTCTTTGGCAAAATGAATTTTTGTCATGTGCAAAATTGTCATTCCTTACTGAGATCTTGCAATTCTGTCAGCTACAAAGCAAAATGAATAAAATGAAAGGACTGCAACACATTTCTGTTGACTATGGAAACAGAAACGTGTACCAATGTACACTTCTCCCTTTAACAACACTGGGACCCCTGTGTAGTTCAAAATTAATGTATAACTCTTTGGCCCCCAACAAAGCATAAATGGTTGATTAACACACTTGAGAAAAGAAGGGGAGATACAATAGCACTTTTAAAGTACTTGAAAGCTTGTCATACAGAGGAGAAGCAGGCTCAGTTCTTGATCATTCCAGTGCACAGCACATGTAATATGGCTACAGCACATGTAATGTGGCTCAAGCTACAGGAAGCCAGATTTAGGCTGCGTATCAAGAAAAACTTAATTTTTACAGCAGTACGACAATGCAACCAATTGCCTTAGTAAGTGGTGAGCGCTCCAGCCCTGGAAGAATTCAAAAGAAAAAGAGACAACCATCCGTCAGACCTACTTTGATTTGTATTTCTGCACTGAGCAGTGAGTTGGACTCAATGGCTGTGTAGGTCCCGTCCAACTCAATTATTCTATGATTCCTGGTAGCTAGAAAGGATTTTTTTTTCTCCATCTCTGCCAGCTCCAAAGAAGCACTGATGAACTAACTTCTTCATATGAAGAACAGGGAACTGCACTTACTCTTCACACATCATCTATTAGTGAGCCAAGGTTCAGAACACTGGAAAGAGGTTAAGAGGCTTCACTTGCCTTAACAAATCCGTCCTTACGAAACAGCCACACTAGATCCTGGATGTGGGATCCTTAAAAGTCAGCTTTCACAGACTCTCGAACAGGATTCTCCTAAGGATAGAACACAGGTAAATGACATGTTAGATTTTGAATCATAAATTGGAAACTGTGTATGGTGGGAGGATGTATTTTCATATATCCAAAATTTATAATAGTGCTTAATCTAGTTCTTTCATGCTAAATAATGTCCCCTGATTTGGGTGATCCTTACTACTGTGCAGAAAAACTATCTTTCTTAGCCAATCAAAACACAAGCCTTCTACAGGTAACCAGATATAAGGAATGACCTGGATTCTGCTTATAGCCTTGCAATGCTATGTGTTCAATATAATATTCAAATACAGGGGAAACACTCACTGTATGGTTTTGTGGTGAAATGTGTAACGCGCAATGCAGTTTCATGCATCTGTTTCACTGCCTAGTGGAAAACAGTTCTGAAGAGAGGCAAGGCCTGGAAAACGCGACTCTGGGTTTTCTAGCAAACGTGATTAAACATCACTAACCTTCAGAAGACTTCTCACAAAACTAAAACATCTATTCAGTCTCTGAGAGAGCAACTGTTTAAAAAGGGTAAAACCAGGAAAAGAACAAATCCTCATTCTACAATCTATGTTATCTTCTAATTTTTTTTTGGGGGGGGGGAATTAATTTTATTTCCCTCACTCGAGAACAAATCCTCATTCTACAATCTATGTTCTCTTCTAATTTTTTTTTGGGGGGGAGGGGGGGAATTCATTTTATTTCCCTCACTCAATTGCCTTTAAACTGTCCAGTCTTGGCCGTCATGGAAGAAACATCCCAACCCAAATGCATCCTTGCCTCAAGGAAGATAACCATGTTAAGGCACCATAAGGGCAACCCTGAAGCATCTCTGTTTCTCAGAAACATGGCTTCAACATGTTTCTGTCAGCTTTCTTTAACTGAAAACAATTAGTTAGAGTCGAGTTTCAGTTTTCCTTCCATTTTCCAGAGTCAACCTACTGACTTGAGTCCCATTCTGAGTCTATACAAAATCACTGTCCATTTGTCAGAAATTTGAGTTCAAGCACTCACTTGCTTTTATTGATCATGAGACCCGGCCTGCAGATTCTGTTGTACTACTCCGAGAATTATTCAACATTTTCTTAGCTCACAGACCTTTTTTTCTATTTTTTCCTTCTCTTCCTTTAATCTAGAGCCAAGTCCATATCTGCAAGAAAAAGACTTATCCTCACTCTTTTCCTCTTCACTTTCTTGCAGGATTGTTTGCCCACACAGAGCTTCAACCCTTGAAGAGCACCACTGAAGCTTCCTATTGGTTTGTATTCCGCAAAAGAGCAGAATAATCACATTCACAGTCAGCTCTTCTGTCCAAGATATCTGAGAAAATGAAACCAAAATGCTGATAGGATTTTTAGCATTTTATTTTACATTTGGCAATAAGGGCTTGGATTGGGTAAATTTCAAGACCTAATTGTCATTTGACTATTGGGTTGATTAATGACTCTTCTGCAGACCTGTTGAAATTCTAGGAAGATGTGTCTCCGGGGGGTTGTCCCTCCCATTTACAAGCTGCTAACTCGTAGCACATAAAAACTGGTGGCCAAGGATCAATTAATTAATTTTTATTAGGTAAAGGTTTTCTAGCATCCTGAGTTTCTTTGCTGAAGTTTAGGGTAATCACAAACCTACATGCTTTTTAAAACATAAGGTACTTCATTAACTAAGTTTATTGTCTACACTCATGCATACAACTACTGCTGCTGTTGTGAATTTTTAAATATTAAATAAATTAAATAATTTTAATTTTTACTTTTTAAAAAATGTTCTGGGTGGGTTTTGGAGGGTAGATTTGGGATGGGATGCGTGTTTCTATGTTGCTTTGTTTTTTGGTGATTTTTTTTGGCAGTCCCAGTGTGGGACTTGCTCTGTTTATATATTTTTATTTTATTTTAATTTTCAGTATTTAAAAATTAAGTGCGTCTTAACGTCCGGTGCGTCTTATGGAGCGAAAAATACGGTATATGCTTTTTAAAACATAAGGTACTTCATTAACTAAGTTTATTGTCTACACTCATGCATACAACTACTGCTGCTGTTGTGATATGTTATAAATGTCAGTTTAATGATTAACATAGCGTGCCATCAAGTCACCTCCAACCTATGGCAACCTTATGAATGAGCAACCTCCAAAATGTCCTGTCAATAACAGACAAGTATTTCTAAACACCATGATTAACCCTGTTTTACAGGTTACACTGATTCTTGCGACAAGTTTAAGTACAGCAGCCGAAATGCTGTTGCTCTAATAAGCTTAGAGGATTAAAAATTAGCCATTTAAGTCTAATTGACCAACTTTTTAAAGGATCCATGACCTTGTACTCTTAACAAGCATGACACAAATATTGGGGTAAATTAAATCTTAAGAAGGCACATTCCAAACAGTCATGAAGAATCAATCCCTGTTGAGCACCAACAGAGATGACAGATCACCATATATACAGTAGATGAGAGCATGAACTCTTGGAACACATTTTCTCCCTTCTGGCAGGGGATATTTGCTTTCTCAAAACCCAGCCCCTCACCCCATTTCTTGATAAGACAGCATGCTTCACTTCAGCTACACTTTTCCCATATCCAATTTGCAAAGGCTTGACAACAAAGCACGTCCCAACACATAGCTGCTCCTGCATCTAAGTGGAAGAGAAACAGAAGGGAAATGGAAGAGAATAGTTATACTAACAATTTGCTACTGCTGTGAGTACATAACAAAGTTTGGTGCTGTATGTAAATTAAATGCATTTTTATTATTACTCTTGCTCCCCTTCTCCCTCTTTTTCCTTCACCTATGGACAGTGCAATATGCTGAGCCTTTGCCCTCTAACTGCCCTCCTTATCTTTTAACAGTGCCAGCCTGCATATAGATGGGATCTCTCTCAGAAATTTTGTTGTTTAGTCGTTTGGGCTGTATTTTTCAGTACTGGGAGTCAGGCTTGAGTTTTAAACTTTCTCCTGAAGAGAAATAAACAGCCACCCACAAATAAAGTATTTCTGCCATACATCAAAGGGGTCACGGACCGCATGGGGAAACTCTTGGAAAAAATACAACCTATAAACAGTATTCAGGCCCACCACAAAAATACAACAAATGCTATGGTCAGCAAAGGACAAAAGGGATCCCTCACCATCGCAGGAGTATACCGGATACCTTGCAGTTGTGACCAGGTATATATTGGAACCACAAAACGCAGCATCCACACCAGAATCAAAGATCATGAGAGACACCGCAGACTAAAACAAATGAAAAATCGGCAGTAGCTGAACATGCCCTAAAACAAGCTGGACATGAAATTCTATTTCAAGGTACAGAAGTACTGGACATCACCAGCAATCATTATGTTAGACTGCAGAGGGAAACCATTGAAATACACAAACACCCGCAGAGCTTCAACAAAAAAGAAAGTTAAAACTCAACAAAGCCTGGCTCCCAGCACTGAAAAATACAGCCTGAAAAAGGTCAACAACCTCTATCCAGCCACAAGGACCGGTGATCCCTGCACACAAAAGGCTAGCTAATGACAGCCATCAATCACAGTGACAGATAATCTCTCCCCCTTATCACAACAATATCCCCCTTAACAATACATCCACAACAAAAAACACACTGATCACCATAATCACCCATCTCCAGAAAAGGACAAAAGCTGATCCCACAGCTATAAATACTCAACTATCCAAATTCTTCACTATCCAAACAAACTGCACCACAACACAGACAGAGTTCTGACTCCTGTCCTCTGAAGATGCCAGCCACAGAGCCTGGCAAAACGTTAGGAAGAACAATCTTTAGAACAAGGCCAAAGAGCCCGAAAAACCCATAACAACGAATTTAATATTGTCATCTCTATGAAGTAGCCACAACTGTTCCTTATCAGTCTGTGTGACCTTCTGCATGTGAAATATGTAACCTGCCACTGAACTATGAACCTTTGTCAACGGCTTGCCTTGGAAAAAATGCTGCTTTTCTCTGTAAAGAAAGCAGAAATCATAAATCCTGCACTACACTGCAAAGCAATTGGACAAGAGGGAGCAAAAAGCTTCACTACAATCTAGATATGCAATGTTTTAACATGGTGCCACATCCAAAAGGAAACAGCCTTTATCAGTTTATTTTGTCAAATGAAGAGCAATGCCTGATGTTTTCTACGTCATTTGACTGACATGATCCCAAAGCCTGCCTGCCTGCCTGCTCACATAAAAACCTAATGCTCTTTTCTCCCTGAGGATCACCAGATTATGAATGTGAAATGAGAGCACTAAGAGCAGAGCACAGAAATAGTGACGTCAGCAGCACCAACCAACACAGAGTGACTTCATGAGACTATGCATCACAGACGCCAGAGAAATGTCTGGCTGGGTCAGCTGCGTAACACAGAATGCCAAATATAGTTAAGCTACAGAAATACTTCAGCTAGTGCAAAATTCAGCTGTCAGGAGTGCATTTTGTCAAGCACATACACAACGCCAGTTTGGGACCAACCTCAGTGACTTCCTGGGTACAACTGAAATTGCTGGTTTAGATCTATGCGGACACGACTAAACGACTGAACACACATCGAAGGAATTTATCTATGTGAACCTGTCCATAATTTGCAGTCTGCCATGAAAGCTTTGCTATATATCCCATACTATAGAGGAAGGCCATGTTAGGGAGCATTGAAGATCAGACTGTTTTTGCAGAAGCACTGTGATTTACTTCCCAAGAGAGGTAATTCCTCTCTCTTAGGTAGTGAAGACTGTCCTGTTCCATCATGTTTCATGCTCGTATCACTCTCTCTCTCTCTGTACTGTGCTAAAAGGTTTTATTCATAAATAAATATTTTAATCAGTGATTTTGTTGTTGTTTAGTCATTAAGTCATGTCTGACTCTTCGTGACCCTATGGACCAGAGCACACCAGGCCCTCCTGTCTTCCACTGCCTCCCAGAGTTGGGTCAAATTCATGCTGGTCACTTCGATGACCCTGTCCAACCATCTCGTCCTGTCGCCCCCTTCTCCTCTTGCCTTCACACTTTCCCAACATCAGCGTCTTTTCCAGCGAGTCTTCTCTTCTCATGAGATGGCCAAAAAGTACTGGAGCCTCAGCTTCAGGATCTGTCCCTCCAGGGAGCACTCAGGGTTGATTTCCTTCAGAATGGATAGGTTTGTTCTCCTTGCAGTCCACGAGACCCTCAAGAGTCTCCTCCAGAACCACATTTGTCAGTGATACAGATGTTTTAACTTCATTTTTATTATTGTGAGACAAGATCCTATTTTAAAAAAATCACAATGGCATAACTCTATTGCTGTAAATTTCAGCTACTTCACGCCAAGACACAAATATGTTGGGCAACACTGAATGTCAGTCAACCTCTTAACTAGAAACAATTCCAACTGAGGTTTATGCCAGTGGAATTATATCAGTAGACATATCTAGTAAAGTTCTGGACATTTTATTATATTACTCCTGGTGACTGGACAGGATGATCCAGAAACCTATCAAATCACTATAAATCAACAATAACAGAGGAATATTTCCAAATGTAACAACAGCAGCAAGAAATATCCAGTCATCATCTATCATGATAGTGTATACTATGCCACAGAGAACACATCTTCCACAACACAGAACAATTAAAACTAATTGTATGCCAACATAAAATTGTGTCAGAAAATCTACAACTTCTGCAACAAAATGCTGCAGTATAAGGTTCTCCACTTATGATGTTTCAAATTGCCCTCTTTCAGGATAATTAATTCAATTCTATCTCCCCTTCATTTTGCTTCAGTATTCCATGTTCACCAAGCATAATGTCCTCGCTAGGCTGTTTTTGGGTCCTTTTAGAATTTTTTAATTACTTGTATTCGTGAAGGCTTTCACGGCTGGGATCTAATGGTTGTTGTGGGTTTTTCGGGCTCTTTGGCCGTGTTCTGAAGGTTGTTCTTCCTAACGTTTCACCAGTCTCTGTGGCGGCATCTTCAGAGGACAGCACTCTGTGCTCTGGTGTAGTTGGCTTGGGAGTGCAATATTTATGGCTGTGAGATAGGCTTTTGTCTTTTTCTGTAGATGGGTGATTAGTGTGTCTTGTTGTGGGTGTATTGTTGTGCTAAGGAGAAGAGATCATCTGTCACTGTGGTTGATGGGTGTCATTAGCTGGTCTTTTGTGTGTAGTGTCCTTGTGGCTGGGTAGACTTCGGTGACCTTTTGCATGCTGTATTTTTGAGAGCTGGGAGCCAAGTTTTGTTGAGCTTCACACTTT